GCTCGTGGTCATTCCACCCATTCATGCATTTGTACACTGACTGCCTACTGTGTATCAGATGCCACCCTCAGTACCACAGAGTGAGGAGTGAGCAAAACAGATAAAAACTACTACCTCCCTGGAACTTAGAATCTAAGTGTCTGATAAAGCAAGGACCGTTAAAGGTAACGCTTGCATCAGACAGGCACGTGTTCTAGAGAGTAACAAAAACAGCTAAAGACGGGGGGAAGAAAAAAAAACAACAAAAAAAACAAAAACAGCTAAAGAGCACAGGGCGTCTCTGCTGGAGCGGCAGGAAGACCCCACGGCACATGAGCCACAGCAGGAAGGCACGGGGCAGACCCACGGCACGTGAGCCACAGCAGGAAGGCACGGGGCAGAGGGAAGACAGTGCTGTGTGTCCACGGATGGGGCAGACCCATCGCACGCCAGCCCATGTCCAAGAAGAAACCGAGACCACGAGAGCCTCAGAGCAGCTGAGGATGGGGCTGCCTCAGGTCAGCAGCGCCTCTGGTTTGCAGGGAGAAGACCGGCAGGAGGCTGCTGTGGGCATCTGGCCACATGGCAAGAGTCAGGGTCAGGAAAAAGACCGGACCCCACAAACTGTGGACTGTCTGGGTGGACTGTGAGGAATAGGAGGAAAAAGGAAGCCCCACTCAGCCAGGTTGGGAAGGTCACTGCCACCAGCGGGGCCAGACCATGAGTCTGGAGGTCAGGGGCAGGGTGGATGGCAAGGGACAGGAATCTGGGAGGATCGAGGACCGAAAGGGAGGGTGTGGTCGGTGCTGCCAAACGCTGCTGAGAGGCTGAGTGAGGAGGCCTGAGAAGTAGCCCAGGCGCTCACACATGGAATGCACCACCTCAGCAGGGCCGGGGGGGAGGAGTGGTCTCCCTGCCATAGGCCTGTTGCCCTAATACAGCCTCATCTTCCTGGGGTAGCTGGGGCTCTCATCCATGACACTCAGGGGCAGAGCCAATAGGCACATGCAGCACAGCATGCCCCCTGGCTCCATGGTGCTGACCAAAGCCCACCAAGGAGCAACTGTGAATACCTATAACCTCATGCAAATACACGGCCTCCAGGACCACTGTCCAGAGGCAGGGAGGGCCAGCCCTGGGGGTGTGCCACGTCGGCAACCTGGAACAAAACCCAGGCCTCCAACACCCCACAGCTGCAGCCTCCCCAGGCCACGAGTGGCTCCTAGGCTCCTGGGGGTCCTCCAGGTGGGGCTAGATGTGAGCCCACACAACACTATTACTAACAGCCGACAGGTACCCACCTGATGATCACACAGTCCAGGAAGTCGGTCAGCCGGCCGTTGCGGGTGATGTAGGAGAAGTCAGGGAAGCGCCTCTGACGAGCCAAGAGAAAGGGTCAGAATGTAGTTAGTTGCCCTGGGTCTGCCGGTGCTCCGGAGAACGGCTCCCAGGAGTGGGGAATGAGGGCAGAGGCTGAGCCTGGCCAGCCACACCAGGACCATTGACTGCTCACAGCCTCCGAGTACACAGGGAAGGGTCAAACTGCCAGCACCAGTCACCAAGCCAGAAGCCCTGCCTGGGGAGTGCCGAGCTGCCCCCTATGACTCTGCAGGAGCCCGAGAGCCCTGCTCTGGTACAGACCAAGCCTTCCACAGAGGGCACCCCATCTGTCAACTGAGGCAGGGGGACTGCCGGGGAATGCAGTGACCCCAGACCCACCTGCCTCCTACCACTGCCCACTTGCCCAGACTCCCTATGCCATGGGTCAGAGCCTGAGGCTCGGAAGCCTGGGATCCTGCTCAGAACAGCAACAAGGAGCAGGCTGAATGAGCTCCCTCCAGGCTACCTTCCCTCAGGACTCACGTCATCATTGAAGCCCATGTGCATTCCGCAGTCCAGCATGACGTTCTTGCCCGCGATGGAGACCAGGATGCAGCTTCGGCCCACATCTTGGCCAGCCCCTGAAAAGGAAGATGGGATGAGGTGCTGCCACCCCCACATCCTTCTCCCTGCTGGTGCAAGCGATGGCCCCAGCCCCAAGACCGAGGCCCAGCCACTTGCCTCACAGCTCCACTGGGAACGCTGGGTCCCCGATGCTGCAGAACCCTCAGTGGGCTGGGAAAAGTAGACCCCCACAGCTGCTGTGCAGATGATGTGTGAGGCACTGCCACCACCACCTCTACACACAGGCCAGGGAAATGTGCAGGGAAGGGGCGAAGTACCAAGACTGCCAAGAGAGTTCTAGGCCCCATGCCCTCCCCCGCTACACCTCCAGCCTCAGGCCCTGCCACTACCACCTAGGTCGGATGGAAAAAGACCCTCATCTCTTGAGGGAGCAGCCCACCTGCTGCGGCTGACGGGAGCCTTCAAAGGCCAGGGGCCGTGTAACAGGTGCTGGACTGTGGTCCTGGCACTTAATAGGGGTAAGCCAGCACTCCACAGGGCATAACCACCCCGCTTGAAAACTCAACTGGGGTCATATCTGGGCTATGGGGCCCTCTCCCCCAGGACCTACTCTCAGGAGGCATCAAGCACCTCCAGGTGGCTTCACTGCAGATGGACACCTGTGAGGCTTTAGCCCGGCCATGGCGAGACATAGCCCCAGCATCCAGCAATGACCAAATACAGTAGCCACAGTGCATGTGGCCCACCACCACACCCCCTCAGGGCACCCACAGCCCAGAACTTAACCTGAGTCCTATCCATGTTCCTGACTTGAAGCCCTACCCATCTGCTTCAGCCTCAGCAGGGCATATCCCGGCCACCTTCTCTAGCCATTTGTCACCTCCTCTGGGGTCTGGAGGCCCAAGAAGAAAGGGACACAGCCTTGCAGGGCCTGATGACAGCAAATGACCTGCTTTCCATCTTGATCCTACAAGCCTCCCTCTGCCAGCCACCTGAACCTTCTGTTAGCACCACACACATCAAGGTGGCCCAAAACAGGACCCAGGCTGGTCCTTGAGAAGTTTCAGTCATCCGTGACAACAGTCAGTGATCCCAGCCAAGAGCTTCGTCTGTGTGCTTCAGGCAGCCCAGCCATAGGCCCAGAGGTCTCTCATAAGCCTGCTCCTGCCCCACCAGGACAATAGCAGGGTCTCAGCTGTCTGCTTCCTCCTGCACCTTTAGCCCTAAAGCTGAGCCCAGCACACAGGCCTCCAGACATTTATGGCGGGGGAAGCGGAGGGCTGCCCCTCTTTACAGAGGATGTGAAGGCACAGAAGTCATGGGATCAGCCCATGGACACATGGCTCCTAAGCATGGGGCCAGGGATGGTTTTCTGGACTCCAGAGCTCAGCTCTTAGGCAATGGCCCATGCTCCCAACAGGACTCACAACCATCCCAGGGAGCAAGGAGAGTGGCCCACCCTGGGCAGCAGATATGGGAAACAGAGTCTAGAGCACACAAAAGGAAGCAGAACTCAGGAGAAAACAAAGGTGACTTCATATCCACAAGAGTCTGTTTCAGGGCAAGGAGACAATGACCATGTAGGTAAGACATACCCTGAGTCCATCAGGTAGAGTTTAGGCCCTGGAGAAGATTAAGGCAAGGAGGGGACACAGAAACTTCCAGACCCACACCCAGCAAGTCCTCCTTAAAATGACTTCTAAGCAGGGTGGAAAGAGACAGCCAGGAGGTGGGAGGGACAGCTGTGCAAAGGCTGTGTGGCAGGAGGGACCCAGGTACCCCAGACTGGGGTAACAGAAGCGGCAGATAGAACTGTTCAGAGAGAGTGAGTGGTGAGAAAGTGGGCCAAATCGTGAAGGGGCAGGCTGCAAAGTGTGATCCGAGGAGGCCCCTGGAAGGGCGCCAAAGGCAGGGGAGTGTGGGGTCACAGCACCCAGAGGGGACCCTGTGCCAAAAGCTGGGAGAGGCTGTTGTAAGGGTGATCTGTATGGCACCATGGAGATGTGGACCCTGACCTGGTAGGCCAGGAGCAGGGGTGTCCAACAGCTCAGTGTCCACACTGGGGGCTGGGGGGGCTATGTGACGAAGAGCTCACACCACGAGAAAGGATATGGAGTTGTGTGGAACACCTGTACAGGAAAATGCTCCCCACACACGGCCCAGTGTAGGAGGCAGGTTCTGGGAAAGCCCAGAGCACGGGTGCGGGAAGAATGCCCAGAGAGCTCTAAGGGCTGGCCACCAGAATGCAAAATGATAACCCCAGTTGTTTCTGGGACCCTGGATTCTCAGTGACCTTTCCTCCTTCAGTGTTCTGCACTCTCTAGGCTTTTAAAAGTGTGCATTTATATCTTTTACAAAATGCAAAGTTTCTTTCAAAAAAAAAACAAAAAAACGTTGCAGAGGTCCAGTAAGACAAGGCTGAACTGAGAGCGGATGGCTGGACTGGGCAGACGGGAAGCTGCAGGTAACGGATGCGACACAGATGCAGGAGGGGGAAGGAAGCAGAGGCGGGCAACGAAGGCCACCTGAGGCACCAGGCCATGCGGACAGACGCCGGCGCAGCGAGGAGAGACCCTGTGGCTCTCGGGGACGGCGTCCGGAGGGCGGACCCCAGGAGCAGCTGCCCGCCTTCGGACCCACCCCCTTTTCACGGTGAGGAGAGCTGGGGACGCAGCAGCACAGCAGCGGGCCGACCCCCGAGCCCTCCCTCGGGAGGGGGAGCCCGGCCCGAGGCCTCCGCTGACGACAGCCGGGGGCTCCGCGGACCTGGCCAGCCCTCTGCGTCCCCGCGGCTCGTCCCCAGACCACCGCCCGGACCCGCGCCCGCGAGGCCGGCCGAGCGCGCCTCACTCACCCAGGGGAGTGACCCTGATCTCGGGCATGCTGCCGCGCGCGCTCCCAGGCCCCGTAGCCTCTGCCCTCACGGAGCCCGCACAACCCCCGCGGCCGGACCCCGACCGGCCGCGACGTACCGCGCAGGTGCAGCCCCAACGGCGCCAGCTTCCGGTGCGCCCGCCGGAAACGCCGGCCAACCCGTCGAGCCTCCGGATTGGGCAGCCGGCAACCAATCCCGGGCGTCAGGGAGGTGGCCGGGGGCGGGGCAGCGAGTCCCCCGGCAGCGGCTGCGGCGGCGGCACAGGTGAGCGGTGGCGGTACAGGTGAGCGGAAGGGCGGCAGGCTCGGGCCCGGGGCCGGGGAGCAGAGCCCAACCGAACTGGGCAGGTGGGCCTGGGCATCGCCAAGGGGCCAGGCGCGGGAGGGCCGGCCGAGGGCCTGGCTCCCACGCCTCCCCGGACCCGGGGCCCCTGCTCAATCCCTGGGCCTCAGCTGGAGCGGGGCCCGCCCAGGACTGGGGCCCCACCCTACCCGAGCCCGCAGTCCGAGCCCGGCGCCACCTGGAGCTCCCTTCCCGAGCAAGACTTGCAGGGCTTCCTGGACAGGGCTTCACTCCTACCCGCTGGGCCTGGGGTGCTAGGGTGGGTGCCCTCTTCTGGGAGCCTTCAGCCTGCTGTCAACCAGAGAGCTGCGGGGCTCAGGCAGCCCTCCTGCCGAGACTTGACCTTGGGGCTGTAGGCTGACCCTGGGGGAGCCTTGGTGGTGCCGTGCATCACCTCCCCAGAGCTGGCAGGCTGCCTGCCCCGGGCTGCACAGCCAGTGTCCTTCCTGTTGTTTGCAAGTTCTGAAAAGCTCCCAGCAGCTCCTCTGCGCTGCTGGCTCAGGTTCTAGACAGGAAAGCCAGGCCCACAGGATGTCTGGTGTCCAGGAAGGTAGCCCTGAAGGCCTCAGAGGCCATCTGCTCAGTGGACGGAAGACAGGCCCTGAGAGAGGGGAGGGGCGTGCCGGAAGTCGCTGGAGCACTGTCTTTCTGAGGCTGGGCACGACTGTCCCCCACACCTGAAGATAGGGTGAGCTCACCTCTGGGAGCTTGGCCCAATGCCAGGGGCCTGCAGGGCCTCAGCAGCCACTAGGCCCCATCAGATGCTCCTGGCATCCTGGGTGGTGAGATGCTGCTGAGTCTCCAGGGACCGTCAGAGCCCAACCCCAGTGTCTGCGCTGGGCACCCAGGAGGGCAGAGGCTGGGTTGCCCTGTGGCACCTATTCAGTGTGTGGGCCCTTGAATGTTTATGGAGTGACTGTATGAATGTGAGCAGAATCCAGGGCAAGACTCTGGCCTAGAGCACTTCCGGAAGGTTCCTTGGGGCTGGGGGAGGGTCTTATGGCTGTCTTCAGAGTGTAGAAGACCTCTGGCCCAGCTGCACTTCCGTGTGGCACCTGTATGGCTCCAGTGAAAAGATTGGGGTCTGTCAGGCGCGCTGACCCTGCAGTCTCTGCTCAGGGCCCAGCCCAGCTGGCCACACTTCCTGGCCCTCCACCTCGCTCTACTGTCTCTTTTTTCATAGTACTTATCTTTTTTTACCTACCATGTTGGACTTTTCTGGCTTTCTCCAAGAATATTGCCCTGATAGGAAGCGCTGTTTGCCTCACAGGGCATCCACCCTGGGAGGGTGCTTGGCTCTGGGCAGAGACTCAGCAGATATTTCTCCAGCTGGTAAAAACACACACACTCTGGTGAGAGAGACAAACAATGAACAAGCAAGAAAACATGAGTGGAGATGTCTGCCATAGATCAGATAGAGCAGAGTGGTTTGACCGGCTGAGTGACGGGGGGGTGGTGCTAAGATCTGTGGACGTGTGTTCCACGCCCAGGGCACAGCAGCACCAGGTCATTATGTCCGAGCATGTGGCCCGGGCAGAGTGAAGTAGGCTCCCGGGGAGAAGGGGCTAACCGGGGGATGGGGCCCACTGTGGGCTTTCAGTTGCTTTCTGACTGCTCTCCCCGCCACCCTGAAATAGTGACCCAGGAAGGGACCTGACTCACAGGGAGACAGCCCGCCAGCCTGACTTCCTTTGTGTTTCAGTACGAACTAAGAAATGGATGGCTTGGAGTCGGACTTCAACCTGAAAGTCGTCTTAGTCAGTTTCAAGCAGTGTCTCAATGAGAAGGAGGAGGTGCTGCTGGATCACTACCTCGCCGGCTGGAGGGGGCTGGTCAGGTACTTTTGGGGGGCACTGCCTTGTGGGGCCCACACTTCCCATGTGCTGTGCACACCCAGCTCCCACCTGCTTGGGGCTGGTCAGCCGTTCTCACGCACCACTTGGCCAGCAGCACCGAGCCTTCTTACCCCTGCCTGCAGGGGGACGTGTGCCCCAGGAGGTTGGGGGCGGTCTCCCCTGCACCTGGGCTGAACTCCTACTTCCCCTCGAGCAGGTTCCTGAACAGCCTGGGAGCCATCTTCTCCTTCATCTCTAAGGATGTCACCGCGAAGCTGCAGATCATGGAGCGTCTGCGCAGCGGCCCCCAGCGGGAGCCCTACAGCAGTCTGCAGTCCATGGTGGCCTACGAGGTGGGCAACCAGCTGGTGGACCTAGAGCGGCGCTCCCGCCACCCTGACTCAGGCTGCCGGACGGTGCTTCGGCTGCACCGTGCCCTGCGCTGGCTGCAGCTCTTCCTGGAAGGCCTGCGCACCAGCCCTGAGGATGCCCGCACGGCCGTCCTCTGCACGGACTCCTACAACGCCTCTCTGGCGGCCTACCACCCCTGGATCATCCGCCGGGCTGTCACCATGGCCTTCTGCACATTGCCCACACGCAAGGTCTTCCTGGAGGCCATGAACGTGGGGTCCCCGGAGCAGGCTGTGGAGATGCTGGGCGAGGCCCTGCCCTTCATCGAGCATGTCTACAATGTCTCCCAGAAACTCTACGCTGAGCATTCCCTGCTGGATCTGCCCTAAGGGCCAGCGGGCCAGGTGGGGCAGGTTTCCCCTGCAGAGCTGGGCTGGGGCAGCCGGCACCCATCAGTCCCACCATGGAGATCTGTGAGTGCCCCAGGAATGGGAAGAACACTCTCCTCTGCCAGCCAAGCCTGATCAGAGCCACGGGCACAGCACGGCCCTCTCGGGCTGTGCTTCTGGCCTGTGGCATGTGGGCCCTGGCAATCTGCTCCGCCCTTATTACCTTGCTCTGCCCAGGGGCATCTTTGCTTTACCCTCAGCTGAGTTACATATGTGTCCAATCAGGCCTCACCCAGACGGTGAGGTGCAGAAGGCAGGGCGGAGAAGGGGCAGGATCAGCATTCATGGAAAAGCCGGAGAAGCTGCCCGCTGCCTGTGAGCCGAGTCGTGAAATGGGGCCAAGTCACAGGTCCCTGCGGCACAGAGACTTCATCCTGCTCGCCAGCAAGCACATTCAGCAGGTGCTTGTCCATCCCTGGCCCACCTCTGTGTCCGTACCCAGGTACCCCCGGACCCCTGCACACAGGGCTGGCCATCCCCAGGACAGGGATAGAACCCTTGGGCAGCCCTTGGCAGTGTAGGCTCTCTCCCTGTCCCTCACGTCCTTACTAGCCAGGGGCCCACATGTCCTTGGCAGCAACAGCCAGGAGCTAAAGCCCTGAGCAGAGGCCTGCCCTGCCCCTCTGCACTCTCATCAACTGCCCCCCATGGCCACACTGTCAGTCGGGTGCCCCCCCCCCCCAGGCAGCTGCCTGCGAATCTGCACAGCACAGCCCAGAGCTCTATGGAGCCCACAGCTCTGCCGGTCCAGGGCTAGCCTCTCCCTCCCCGTCATCCAGCGAGAGGCCGTGTTCCCTCCTCCCTGCCCCTTGCTGCCCCAGCCCCACAGAGCTCAGCCCCACAGAGCTCAGGAGACCCAGGATGAGATGGCACACGGAGAGAGCCTGGACCAGATGCCCAGCTGACAGGCCAGCCATCACCAGCACTTAGGGGCCTGGCCTGTCCTACTGGCTCTTCACTGTGAGCTCAGGCCCCTCGATGCCAAGGGGACCGTATCCACCATGCAGCATACATACGTGTCAGCTTGCAGAGACCCTGGGAAAGTGTAATTGTTTTTCCAACATCAATAAAGGCCACTTACAGAGCAGACTGTGCACTCCAGGGTGGAGGTATTTTGTGTGTCAGGCGGCTGCTTACTGAAGGGAGGAGGGGCGTGACCCCATGGGGCTGAGGCCCTACTGTGAGGCTCACAGGGCAGTGTCAACCACAGGGACGGGTGGCCTATTCTGGCCAGCATGGGGCAGGGGGATGCTGCCTGTCTGTGCTTGTGTAGCCTTTAGCTTGGTCCCTTGAACCCCCACCAAGGTCCATGTCATTATCCCCATTTTATAGGTGAGAAAACAATTACCCAGGGGGCTGGGTTGGAAGGGCAGATCTGAGGCCCACAAAGCCTGTGCAGGGGAGGGGCTCTGAGCCACAGCAGGGGTTGGGACAGAAGGAGGGTCCATGTCGGGCAGCATGCTCTCGGACACTCCAGTGTCAGTCCCAAATAGCAGTGTCCAATGCCAGGTCCCCTCCGCCACCTCCAGGCCTGCTGCTTCGCCCTGTCCCGCAGGGACCGCAACCAGCCCACCTGCTCCCCGTCCTGTGGCTGGAGATGACCATGAGGGCTGCACACGTGTGTACCCAAGTGCATACAGATGTACGGGGCCACGCACGGCATAGGCGTCATACGTGTGTGTGTTGAGTGTGTGTGCTGCCCACGTATGTGCATGCCCTGAGCATGCCATGCAGCTTGGTCCCTCCCCACAGGCAGCAAAGATCAGATCCCAGACCATCTCCTATAAACATCTGCCAGGGTTGAGACCACCCAGAGCTCCTACTCCTCTCCAGGGGCATCGGTGGCCTCCCCCAGTTCCTCTGGGTGCCTACTGGGCACCCCCACACCTGAAACTCGTGTCAGGTCCCCAAGGGCAACCCAGAGGCTAAGTAAGAACTGCTGCTGGCACATCTTTTGGGGCTCACCTGTACACACCTGGTGCTGACCCAGCTTCAGAGGCCCATTTGGTTATAGCCTTTCCTCCCTCATTTGCATGCACGGCCCTGCAGGCCCAGCTGTGCCCTCTGTCCCCAGAGGGAGGCACCTGCTCTGTCAAGAGCCCAGGCAGGGTGTGGGCAGAACCAGCCTCAGGGTCCCTGAAGTTTCTAGGCAACAGCCCAGCCCTGTTTTCAGACAAGCTGGGAGGCCACAGCCCCCACCCTGGGGCCCTCCCCACCCCAGCCACGGGATGGAGAGCTGGCAGGCGGGCTGGCCACTGTCCTCCTGGCTGGTCTGCCCCCTGAGCCTGCAGGTGGAGCCACCCCTGCAGCCCACCCCTCACCCCTAACCCCCGGCTACTAACAGTCCTCCCCAGGGCTGGAAGAGGTGTTTCTGTACCTACTTCTCGGGGCACTGGCACCTCCCCCAGGCAGCTAGAGACCCCAGGACCCTCTGGCGGAGAAGTCCTGAGTGTCCCTCCTCCTTTCCAGGAATGGGGTGGGTGCAAAGGGGCTTGGGCACAGGCAGGCAACAAGATCATGGTCAGTGGTTGCTCAGAGCCTGCCTGCCCAGGTCACTGTCAGCCAGAGAGCCTGTGGGTGGGTGACATCAGGACAAAAGAGTCCAAAGAGCACAAACCTATGGGGCCCAGGAAAGCAAGGGTGTCCCCAGGGGCCCCTGGGCTTGGCAGACGAGGGCAGGTGAGGATTTTGCTAAGCAAACGCTCCGCCCTCCCCTGTCCCAAGTCATCGTATCAGGGCCTCCGCCCGATTCTCATTTGCCAACCCTGCTGGAAGCTGCCACCTGCCAGGCCTGCATCTCCTGGGCCTCACGGCTCCCTCGGGCCTCGGAGCGGGCGCCCCACTGTGCTCATCCTGGCAGCTCAGGATGCAAGGGGGCTATGTGCTGGGTGGGCTCTTCCCCCTGGGCGCGGCCGACGATGCAGGTCTCCGCGACAGGACTCAACCCAATGCCACCATGTGCACCAGGTAGGAATGCGGGGGGTGGGGGGCGAGGGGTGACGAGGGTGGGGGTGGCTCAGGTCTGGGGTGCTCCTGAGTGGGGATGAGGTGTTGGCCACCTGCAGCCCTGTGTGGCCCTAGGTTCTCGTCCCTTGGCCTGCTCTGGGCGCTGGCCATGAAGATGGCTGTGGAGGAGATCAACAACGGGTCTGCCCTGCTGCCAGGGCTGCACCTGGCCTACGACCTCTTCGACACGTGTTCAGAGCCCGCGGTGGCCGTGAAGCCCAGCCTCATGTTCATGGCCAAAGCGGGCAGCTGCGACATTGCCGCCTACTGCAATTACACGCAGTACCAGCCCCACTGTGCTGGCTGCCATCGGACCCCACTCATCCGAGCTCACCCTCGTCACCGGCAAGTTCTTCAGCTTCTTCCTCATGCCGCAGGTGCGCCCCCCCACCCCCACTGGCTCTGCCTGCAGGAGCCCCCGCATCAGGAGCTGCCTCCCGGTCACTGCAGGTCAGCTACGGTGCCAGCACTGACCAGCTGAGCAACCGGGAGATCTTCCCGTCCTTCTTCCGCATGGTGTCCAGCGACCGCGTGCAGGCAGTGGCGATGGTGGAGCTGCTTCAGGAGCTCGGCTGGAACTGGGTGGCCGTGGTGGGCAGCGATGACGAGTATGGCCAGCAGGGCCTGAGCCTCTTCTCCAGCCTGGCCAACGCCAGGGGCATCTGCATTGCGCACAAGGACCTGGTGCCGCTGCCGCACACGGGCAGCCTGAGGCTGGGCACCGCCCAGGACCTGCTGCACCAGGTGAACCAGAGCAGTGTGCGGGTGGTGGTGCTGTTCTCCTCCGCCCATGCCGCCCGCACCCTCTTCAGCTACAGCATCCATTGCAGGCTCTCGCCCAAGGTGTGGGTGGCCAGTGAGGCCTGGCTGACCTCAGACCTGGTCATGACACTGCCCGGCATGGCTGAGGTGGGCACCGTGCTCGGCTTCCTACAACAGGGCGCCCCGATGCCCAAGTTCCCATCTTATGTGCGGACCCACCTGGCCCTGGCTGCCGACCCCGCCTTCTGCGCCTCCCTGGACACTGAACAGCCGGGCCTGGAGGAGCACGTGGTGGGGCCATGCTGCCCCCAGTGTGACGCTGGAGAACATATCTGCGGGGCTGCTGCACCGCCAGACCTTCGCTGCCTACGCGGCTGTGTACGCCGTGGCCCAGGCCCTCCACAACACGCTGCTCTGCAATGCCTCAAGCTGCCCCCCGCGGGAGCCCGTGCGGCCCTGGCAGGTAAGGGCAGGGAGCCCCCGGCACTCTCGAGAAGGAGCTTCAGTGGGGAGTGTGCACTGGAGGCAGCTACTGGCCCAGCGCCCCCCACCGGCTCCAACCCACCCACCAGCTCCTGGAGAACATGTACAACACGAGCTTCCGCGCTCGCGGCCTGGAGCTACGGTTCGATACCAGCGGGAACGTGAACATGGACTATGAACTGAAACTGTGGGTGTGGCAGGACCCGACGCCCGAGTTGCGCACTGTAGGAGCCTTCGATGGCCGCCTGGAGCTCTAGCAGTCCCAGCTGTCCTGGCACACGCCCGGGGACCAGGTGAGCCCCAGTGCGCTCCCCCCGGCCACAAACAAGTTCTGGCTCTGCCGGTGCAGGGGCTGGGGGGGACCATCCCCAGGTCTGGGCGGTGCACCCGGCTGAGCACAACCTGAGCCCCAAGGCCCCGTGCCAGGGGCCCGTGTCCCAGTGCTCCTGGCAGTGCAGGGAGGGCCAGGTGCGCCGAGTGAAGGGCTTCCACTCCTGCTGTTATGACTGCGTGGACTGCAAGGCCGGCAGCTACCAGTGCAGCCCAGGTGAGCCCCTCTCCCAGGCTGCACTAGCTGAGGACGGGGGCAGTGGGGGGGGGGGCAGGGACCCGCGGGGCCTCGTGTCTCGGCTCCAAGGCCAACCCTGAGGCCAGAGCAAGTGGGTGGGAGTGAGGCCAAGGACCCCGTGCCCCCCCAGTGCCCCCTCTTTGCTCCCACATCACAGTTGACCTCCTCTGCACCCAGTGTGACCAGGACCAGTGGTCCCCAGACCGGAGCACACACTGCTTCCCCCGCAGGCCCACGTTCCTGATGTGGGGGGAGCCAGCCATGCTGGTACTGCTTACACTGCTGGGCTTGGCGCTGGGCCTGGTGCTGGCGGCCCTGGGGCTCTTCATCTGGTACTGGGACAGCCCGCTGGTTCAGGCCTCAGGCGGGCCAGTGGCCTGCTTTGGCCTGGCCTGCCTGGGCCTTGTCTGCCTCAGCATCCTCCTCTTCCCTGGCCAGCTGCCTGTCCCAGCAGCCCCTGCTCCACCTTCCCCTTGCTGGCTGCCTGAGCACACTCTTCCTGCAGGCGGCCCAGATATTTGTAGGTTCGGACCTGCCACCCAGCTGGGCAGAGCAGCTGCGTGGCTGCCTCCAGGGACCCTGGGCCTGGCTGGTGGTGCTGCTTGCTCTGCTGGCGGAAGCAGCACCGTGTGCCTGGTACCTGGTGGTCTTCCCACCAGAAGTGGTGACGGACTGGTGGGTGCTGCTCACAGAGGCGCTGGTGCGCTGCTGCATGCGGTCCTGGATCAGCTTTGGCCTGGTGCATGCCACCAATGCCACGCTGGCCTTCCTCTGCTTCCTGGGCACCTTCCTGGTGCAGAGCCAGCCAGGCCACCACAACGGCGCCCGCAGCCTCACTTCTGCCATACCGGCCTACTTCATCACCTGGATCTGCCCCTCTTAGCCAATGTGCACATGGCCCACCAGCCCACTGTGCAGATGGGCGCCATCCTCCTCTGTGCGCTGGGCATCCTGGCCACCTGCCACCTGCCCATGTGCTATCTGCTGCTGTGGCGGCCGGAGCTCAACACCCCTTGAGTTCCTGGGAGACGATGCTGGAGGACAGGGCAGCAGTGGTACTGGGGGGAAGGAGACTCAGGGCAAAAACAAGTGACCCCTGACCCAGTGACCTCACCCCAGTGAACCCAGACTTAGTTGAGATGCCCCCAAACCAAGTTCCTATGAAGCAACCCCCAGACTGTACCCCAGCTGCTGAGACCACCCCCAGCTCTAGATCCTGACTGCAAGTTGACTGCTGACCTTGACACCACAGTGATCCTTGGGCCTGCAGCATTCATGAAGGGCCTCAGCACCCACCTGGGGCCTGAGAGCAGCTCCGTATGTGTCCTAGCCAAGCCTTGGCCAGGGCCAACCCAGGTCATCCAGCCCCACTGTTCCAGAAAGAGGCCCATAAAAAGGTTCCTTGGGGCTCCTGTAGCTCATGCCAAGAGCTCAGGAAAGCCCCCAGTCAGATCACCTGAAGTCCAAGCTGGGTATTACTTGCCTGGCCAGGCCCAGCCTGGAGCCTCCAGCCAGCACCCCATCCAAGCATCACAGGGAAGGGAGGTTGGTGGGTGATGGGAGCTGTTCTGACCCCTCTGCAGGGACATGTGACTGATCATGGGCCCCAGAGTGGGACGGGAATGATGAGCAGGGCAGAGGCCTACTTGGGTGGGGGGGATGGGATGCACACCCAACCTCCTCCTCTCTCTGTGGCCTGGCCCGAGCAGGTAAAATGGGGTCAGATGGCCACCAGCACCGTGGACAGAGCCGGGGGGTCAGCACCAAGGCCAGCATCCACAGCCAAGACCCCTGGAGCCAGGAGCTAGCACCACGGACAGAGGACCAGCCGCCAAGGACCCTGCCGGCAGCCAGCACAGGGCACAGAGCCCGGCGCCGAGCAGGGACCCAGAGACAGCCGCACCCCAGCCTTCCAAGGTACCCGGCAGAAGAAAACAGACACAGGCCACGCATCAGTCCCATAAAATTAAATGCTTTTTAGTCTTTAAAATAGCATTTACACAGAAGCAGCTCTATTAACTATCTGGATGGACACTCCGACTTGATACAGTATCTACAGCGCAGATGTGTGCAGGCCAGAAACGCCAGGAAGGAAGCGGCGTGAGTGGGTGGGCAGTCACCTGAGGACAGCAAGGAGGGGTGGGCTGGCTACCCCCTCTTCCCCACACCCTGCCCCTGCAGCTGTGCGCATCCGGGCCCCTTGCCCCTCAGGGTCACATCCCCACCACCACCAGCTGAAACACGTCCCCCTCCCATCTCCCCCTCACCAACCCCTCCCACTTTCTGACAGGACCTGTGTCCTTGCATTCAATCTGAGACCCAGTGGCGGGGGGGGCACCTGACCTGGCCACCACCTCCCCCAGAGCACACAGGCCAGGCAATAAATAAATAAATTAGATCCCTACCCCGGGCGTCCACAGAGGGGCCTGGGGGCTCTGATTCCACCTTCAGGAAGGGCCAACCCAGCCCAGGCAAGAGTAGTGGAGCCTATGACTTGGGCAAACAGGGGGCCCAGGCCCAGCAGCCTCTTCTCAGCTTAGTCTGGGGCCCTGTGCACAGCTCTGTAGGCAAGTGGGGGTCCCTGAGGCACACCCCAAGGGCACGGGCTCTGCACAGACACAAGCTGCTCCAAATAGGAATGGACGGACTGCCGAATTCAGATCACGGTGGTCTGGGCTGCCCTCAGCCCCTCACCCAGCCTGCTCCCCCTCTCCGTCCAGGCCTGGGCCCCGACATGAACCCTTGTGTGCAGGCAAGCACAGGCTCGCTTGACCCAGGACAGCCACCAATAAGGCAAGCCCACACAAGCCCAAAGGCGGTGCCCTCCTGCAGGAGCGGGCAGGACCACTGGCTCCCCCACCGTGGGGCCGAGCTGAAGGCACTCTCTCCTCAGTCACATGATGTCAACAAAAAACTCACAGGGGTTCCCCATGGCCTTCTGGAAGGACTGGCGGCTGCCCGTCAGCTCTGGGGGGACAGCGGCCAGCTCCCGGACGGGCGGCCCCCCCGGCGGCCCCCCCCCCACCGAGTACGCCTTTGCTAAGGGATACGATGGGGGGAGGCCCGGGGCGGCCGCCGAGCCCCGGCTGAGCTGACTAGCTGGACGCTCCCGACAGCCGCTGCCCCCGACGCCGCCCGGTGCCGTGTGGTCTGACTCGCTGCCGCTGCCCCCGGCTCCAGCCACCCGGCGTTCCTTCTCACGGCCCAGTGCCCGCCGGCTGCTCCCGCCGGCACTCTGGGTGGACCCACTGCTTTTGCTTCCTGGAGTCAAGGACAGGGAGAGGAATGAGATGGTCAGTGTTGGGCCACGTCACTTCCAGGACGACCAGCCATTGCCAGGGCAACCAGGGGCAGAACCTGGTAGTCTCAAGCAGGGCAGGTGTGGGGGGGGCAGCCATGCAAACAGGAGAGCAGGGCTGGCCCCACTCATAGAAGCAAGTACAGCTACAGCAGGCCGGGGGGCAGGGGCGGGCAGTGGCAGACAGAAGGGACACTCTGAGGCCAGCTCAGTGCCCCCCATCTCACCCCAATGTCTGATCTTGCAGCTGAGAACCTGAGGCACGAGTGAGGCCCTGTGTGCCCGGTGCTCCCGTCGGCCATCCTGGGCACCCCCCCCACCCCCAAGACCCACCTTCCGTCCAGCCCCAAGGCCCTGGCCAGCTACTCAGCTCAGCCCCCCGTCCTGGGCTCCCAGGAAGAGCGGGGAGCCTGAGAAGGCCAGCTGGCTGGGAACATGCCGAGAGGGACGCCGGGCAGGACCCTGGCTTACCGGCCCGGAGGGTCCACTCCGCTAGTCCTTCAGTCTAAGGCTTGCTCAGCACAAAGCAAGGGATAGCATGAGTTACACAGCAGGCCCGGCCCGGACACCCATTCCTGCCTACGGTGCATGCGGCTACCAGCTGGGCCTGTCCAGGGTCCACAGGCGCCCAGCAACGGCTTCCCCTGGGGCACCACTGCCCTCTGACCTGCTCTCCTCTCTCTCCCATCCCTGTCTGGGTCTACTGGACTAGCTCCCTGACCTCTGTCCCCTGGCCTCAGTGACACTGACAGCCTTAGGCCACTCCTCCAACAAGCGCCCTCCTCAGGGACGCCCCTCGATCTTCTGCTCAGCTCTCCACACATCCCAGGGTGAGTCCACAGTTGTCTGTGGGACTGTCCACCTCCAGCTCCCGGCCGGGCTGCAGGTGCTGGGGGCAGTGTCTGTCCTCCACTGTGGCCTGGGACCTCTCTGCCATCCTTCCCCATGCCATCTCCTGGCTTTTTGCTTCTGCTGCACCTGGAACACCAGCACCCCCCCAACACACACACACACACACACCCCAAAGTCTGCAGGGCTCTCCCCATCCCCCTGAACCACTCACCGCTTCCAGAAGGAGCTCACCCAGGGCCTCAACACAGAGCAGAGAGGAGCGCACGGGGCAGAGGGGGTGGGCACACAGGGCAGAGCCAGGCGGCAGGGACAGCAGGGAGCTGGGCGCCCAGCAGGCTCTCACCTTCACTCTGCTGACTCCCAGCACTGCCGCTGCCATAGCTGAAACCAGGGTCTTGGTATGCGGGTGGGAAGCAGGGCGGGGGGCCCGGGTACTGGTAGGGGTAGCCCTGACCCAGGGGCCAGGGGGCGGCCGGATGGGGCAGTGGGGCCAGCGTGTCCTGATCCGAGGCCCCACTGGAGCCGCTGTTGAGGTTCAGGGCTGCGAGATCTGGCGGGAGGGGAGGGTGGGTGAGGGCAGTGAGGGCAGGCCCTCGGGGATCCCCACCCACCAGCCCCCCACTCACTGCTGCACAGGTCCCCAAAGACGTAGTAGCACTGCTCCGAGAAGGTGATCTTGTTGACCGTGTGCCGCAGGAAGCCGCGCTTCAGCATGCTGCTGGCGTACTTGCGAGCCTCGCGCCTTTCCTTGAAGCCCTCCACGTGTGTGTACAGCCAGTCCACCACGTCCGCCCCTGGCCCGGAGCACACATCAGGGCACAGAGCCCGGGGGGCGGACCCGCCCCGCCCGGAGCCAGCCCGGCGGGCCCCTCACCAATGACGGCATTGGCAATGGTGATCTTGAGCCACATGCGGTCACGGATCTCCAGGCCCGAGTCTGGCAGCTGCATGACGCGCACCACGGCGCCCATGTCGCTCTTCACCGTCAGAGGTGCCTCCTCCAGCTCTGTAAGGCACAGCCCCCCCGCTCAGCCCCGAGCAGCCGAAGGCAGGGGGAGGCCTTGGGATGGGCTGCAGGCCCCGCTGCGGCAGCCCATCTCAGAGCCCGGGCTCCAGGTCGGGTCTGTGGTCCTGGAGCCCAGACCGTGAGGCCATCCGGTGACTGCAGGGTCCAATCCCACCACAGGATGGACCCTCACAGGGGCGGGGAGCAGGGGTGAGTTGGGGAGGGGAGTTGAATCTTTGTCCCCTACCCCTGCAGATGCTTCATCAAGATCTTGGACCCAAACCCAGGGGAGGCCACCCCCACCCTGCAGACCAGAGCCGCACGGGGAGAGGCCTCTTCCCCCCTCCCCGTCCGCTAGCTCAAGGTTGTTAGTCGTGTTAGCTGCAGGAAAGCCGGGTGGGAGTCACACGCGTGCACTGCCTCTCCTCCCCAGGAGAGAGGGGCCCCAGGGCTGGCCTGGCCCGTCTGGGCAACTTTCAGTCCCACCACACAGCCAGCCAGCTGGAAGGAGGGTGTGCGTGACGGCAGACACATGTGTCCATCCACGTGTGCGCCCTGGCCACACAGCAGGACGGCCCTCAAGTGCGACCGTGCGGGACGGGCACTTCGGCCAGGCCCCTCGCCCTGGTGCCTCAGTTCCCTGCTCTCCTGAGCTGCCACTTACGTGGGGCGCCGGGCACGGAGCTGGTTAGTGAGGAGGAGCTGGTGCGTGTGATGCCGCTGGAGCAGGGGCTCGTACCGTAGTGGGGCAGGGCTCCAGTCAGCGCCGCCGTGTGGGACAGCCAGGCGGCAGGGTCGATGGGCCGCACCGGGTCAGCTGGGTGGCCGCCGGGTGTTAACAGATGGACGGACAAACAGACGGATGGACGGTAGCACACGATGGAGCACGGGGGCACAGAGGAGAGGACCTTCAGGCTGGGCGAGCGCCCTCAACCCCCCCCCAGTAGCCCTGCAGGGTCACTCACCCCTCGGGATGGTGAAGTAGCTCCGGGGGGTCGGGTCCCAGCATTTGGCTACCGTGAGGCTGATGGGCCTGTGGGGTGCAGCAGGTCACACAGGCGAGGCCCCAAGGGGGCCCCCCCATGCCGCCCACCCACCGTGCCTCACCCCGTCTGGGACACGATCTCCCGCAGCACCCGCACAGCGTCGTCATTGCTCATGTTCTCGAAGTTGATGTCATTCACCTGGGGGGTGAGGGGTTCAGCACGGCAGGGCAGGGGTGCCAGCCTCTCGGCCCCCCAGTCCCTTCCCACAGCCCCGCACCTGCAGCAGCATGTCGCCCGGCTCGATGCGCCCGTCGGCCGCCACGGCCCCACCCTTCATGATGGAGCCGATGTAGATGCCGCCGTCCCCCCGCTCATTGCTCTGCCCCACGATGCTGATGCCCAGGAAGTGGTGCCTCTCTGCAGGGGCGAGGGGTGAGCAGGTGCCTGCTGTGGGGGTGCACCCCACCCAGGGGCCCCGCACCCCACGGGGGACCCCAGCGAGGCCTCACCCATGTTGAGAGTGACGGTGATAATGTTCAGGGACATGGTGGAGTCCGTGATGCTGCTGAAGGAAGAAGCCTGCGGAGGGACGCGAGTGAGGGGGACGGAAGCAGGGGCTTCAGCAGGCGGACCCCGCCCTGCGCCTAGCTGCCCCCTACACCACCTACACGGTCCGCCTGCCGCATGCGCTGCTTCCGCCGCCGGCGCTTGTGTTTTCGGATGAGCCGGGAGGACGTGCTCTGCTCTGTGGAGCTGCTCAGTCTGGGGGGCATGAAGGTCAGGGGCCAGGCCAGAGGCTGCAGGGCTGCGGCGGGGTGGAGAACAGGGCACCCCACCCCCCACACACACAAGACAGGGAGTGCACAGGATGGGTGTCAGGTCCCGTGCCACCCTAGCCGGGTCAGCTGTGGGACACAGAGCTGGGGTAGAGCTGGCTCAGGAGAAGGCTCAGCTCCGGACTGGACATGGCCCTACACACATGACACACACAAACCCCACACCTATCTGCAGCATTACTCAGGCAAAACGGAGACACAAACACTGAGGAAGCCAGCACATGCGTGCACACACACCTGTTACACATCCACGCACGCACACGCCCATCCATATATACATGCCCATGGACTCACACACCCCCATGCATGTGCACATACCCGTACACACCCACACACCCATACGTGACGTGACTGCACGCACAGATCTGTTCACACATACACCCACGCACACATGCATGCAAACCTGTTACACACTCACACACATCTGGATGTGTGTGTCCATGCACACCTGTAACATACCTATGCACACACACCTACACATACCTGTAACCCCTGCGCACACACATCTGCATGCACACGCACCCACACATACCTGTAACACCTGCGCACACACATCTGCGTGCACACGCACCCACGCACCCACACATACCTGTGACCCCTGCGCGCACACACCTGCGTGCACACGTACCCACGCACCTGTGCACACGCACCCACACATACCTGTGACCCCTGCGCACACACATCTGCATGCACACACACCCACGCACCGGCTTGTGTTGTCATCCTCATCTGAGTCAATGAAGCTACTGGACTCGAGTTCGCTGCTCAGCACAGTAGAGGCACTGTCGGGGGGCAGCCCCAGGTCTCGCCGCCGGTCCCCCCTTGGGTGCCCATTGGTCCGGGCAGCTGTGGGGACAGCAAGAAGGGAGCTGGCCATGGGGTCCCCTGTGTGGCCTCAAGCACCAACTGACCTGGGAGCTGGCCAGGTGACTGTGGGGCTGCTGGCAGGGGGGGGTCCCTGGGGTCCTGGGCAGACAGGCCTAGGACCTCTACTCTGGGACCCCCATTGGTCAGGGGGCAGTAACTGGGAGTAGGCAGGGTGATAGGGTGCACTGCGGGGGCCCGGGCGTGTCTAGGGTGCGACTTCATTACCCTCTTCGCGGTTCCGGCGTCGGGCTCGCTCCCGCCGGTGGCTGACCAGAGACTCCGTGCCAGTCTCATTGTCCATCCCGTCGCGGCCACTGGCTACATTAGGGCTGTGCCCACAAGACGGGGTGGGCTGGGGCAGGCTGGGCCACCCACACTGCGTGCGACACCCTCCCAGCTCCTTGCCTCCTCTCCCACCCACTCAGCTGCCCAGACTGGGCCTCTCTGCCCGCCCCTCCTCCACTGACCAGTCTCTACTGACCACGGGTCCCTGGTTAGTCGCCCCTTCCCCCGACAGGCCTGGTAGCAGCAGGCCCCTCAGGACCACCAGGCTCAGCCCCCCACACACAGTCCTTACTGGAAGGAGGGGGGCCGGGAGTCCCCGATGCCGCCCGTTCTTTCAAGAGGTGGGGGCAGGTCTGTGTGGCCATCAGTGCTCTGAGAGCCTGCATCTGAGTGTGCGCCCTCGGCCAGGACCAGCTGCAGAGGAGAGCAATGGCTGAGGGACACCGCCAGCCTGCAGGCCCACCCCCCACCCACCCACATGGGTTCAGCCCAGCCCAGCCTCCACCATAGCCAAGCGTCCTCTGCCAGCATCCCATGGACTCACCCAGGAGACCACACGACCATTGAAGCAGGGCAGCTTGGCATTATCGTCGGAGATCTCCTCCTTCACCACCCTGTGGGCAGACAGTGCCGTGAGACCACCTGCACGAGGGATGGCTCCCACCGGTGGGCCCTGGAGGGAAGAGCTCCCCATGTTCTTGTCCAGGGTACATGCCAGCCCAGGCCATCCAGCCACATGCCCAGATGTCAGTCTGTGTGGATGCCCCGACCTGGTGCAATCCCTTCCTGGGGACCCTTGTCATCCTCCCACAGACCCCTTCCAGGGCCCAGGGCAGAGGGAGGTCCGAACTCCAGACCCTCGAGCAGCAGAGGGTCACCTCCTATAACACCCTATAATGCAAATATCTGCCTTGCTCTGTGTCTACGTGCCCCACAGAGTGCGGATCCCTGACACCAGGGCTCTGCCTGGCTTCTTCCCTCCACCTCCCCACGCCCCAAACCTGGCCCCAACCCAGAACAGGGCCCAGTTCACAGCAGGCCTCAATACAGATGTGAGGACAATCAGACCACGTGAACATAGGCAGATTAAGATGGGACTGCATGCAGATCCGTACGTGCACACAGAGGGCAGGCCACTGCCCTCCTGCCCCGTCCACCTGGCCAAGGAAACAGAAGCAGACCCCACTCTCTACAACAGCCCAACTCAAGGCGTGAAAGGACAGCCAGGCACAGGGCTGCTGGGCCCACTGAGAAGTCCCAGCCCCAGAGGCCAGCAAACCCCAGCAGCCACATGCCCAGCATCTGGCCCCTGGCTGGTGTCTTGATGCTGCCCCCAGTTAGGTCAGTTTGGGGGTGGGGAAGGTACCCAGGCAGGACACAGAGAGCCAAAGCAACGCGAACTGGGAGGGAAGCCGACCATGCCGTGGTCAGACACAGGTGGGGGATGGGTCAGCTGTCCGATTCAAAGGCCTGAGGAGGGCAGCCACCAGCACGGTTCGCAGGGGCAGCCGGGGAGGGGCCGTGGGGCAGGGCGGGCAGTGGTTATGGCCCAGACGCACCCCACACTGTGGCCCCCTTGAGGCCCAGGGATCAGGGCAGTCAGGGCCAGGCCTGCAGCAGGAGGCACCCCGATGCCCTACCCCGCTGGAGCCCAGCCCTGCCCAACACAGAGGGATTTCCACACCCAGGACTTGGGCCCAGGAGAAAAACAGGAGCCAGGAGAACAGGCAGGAAGCAGCCTTGTGACATGTTGAGCCTGGACGCCTGGACTCTGCCCATCCTGGACAGCAACAGGAGGCCTCCACAGAGCAGGCACCCCATACTCCCCCAAGGGAGCAAGGCCCAGGTCCACCACCCACCACCCAGGCCTCAGAGGACAGAAAAGACGGGGCCAGCCAGGGCAGGAGGGGGCACACTGCCAGCACCCTGCAGCAGCCCCTCAGACACACCCCCAGCATGCCAGCCACATAGGGGCAGCGAGGTGGACACCCAACGGGAAGAAAAGCCCCCGTGTCTGCTGCCCCAACTTACACAGCCACAGCCCCACAGAACTGAACTCCCCGGGGAGGCCGGGACCCAGCCCAGCACTCGGCTGAAGTTCCCACAAGAGGGGGCCACCACGGGAAGACCTGAGGGGGCCCAGCACCCCCTGGGGCTCTGCCAGCTGCAGCCGACAACCAGCCATGCAGCAAGCCCTCCTGGGGGCCCGGCAGGCGAGAGCACGTCTGTGAGTGAAAGCAGCAACCAAGACTCGGGAGGGACCCGATTCCTGTTTCACAGCCCGGGTGGCCCAGCCTCCTCTGCCATTCCCAAGCCCCCGCCCTTTCTGACTCACCCCCCAGGCAGGCAGATGAGCTCCCCAGCCCTCACACCACAGGGCCCACCTGGCCCCCCAGGGGTGGACTGCCCACCTGGCCAGTGCCTCCAGATGACCAATCACGCAGGGCTGCCCGAGCCTCTGTGCCCCCTACCCCTGCATAAATGAGCCCCCAGGGCCCAGAGTCCCTGCTCCCCTACCCCGCTCCCAGCCTGAGGAACCCAAGTCCCCCAACCCAGCACGACAGGACATCCTGCCTTCCACCTAAAGCCTGGGCACCAAGGCCCTCACCCAGCTAGGCCAAGGCAGCCAGGAGGTGGGGGTGGGGGGCTGCAGAGCCTCCAGGACAAGGGCGCAGGTGCTTTCCTCAGGAAAACCCACTGCTGGCCAGCATAATCTCCGGGAGCTACAGGCAGACACAAGGGCCGGGGAGGCCTCAGTGGAGCCTGGGGGAAATGTCTCCAAACAATTCTGGGGTTCCCTCCTGGGCCAGGTCTCACCAGGTGGAAGAGCAGACCTCGGAAGCAGTCTCCACCGGCCCTTAGGGGTGGCCACCCAGGGGCACCCCCACTGGCATCATGCTCCCAACCTCAGAATTCCTGGCGAGATCCCGGTTAACCTCAAACTTGTGGCTGTCCGGCCCCGCCCGCCCGCCGCCCCCACAGACTCGCCCTGGCAAGGAATCTGCTCAGAGCAGGGCCCTTAGAGCCAAGCACAGCCACAGGGGGACCCCCAGGACTCCCAGAAGCCATAGCATGCCACAGGCCAACCCTTGCCAGTGGGTCCCCAGAGGCACAGGGTTCCCCCACTAGACCTCCCCACTACGAAGCAGGAAGATGGCAGAGCAAGCTCATACATGACAGGGGAGATCTCGAAGATGCCCCCACAAGTCAGGGATCCTCAGCTCCCACCATGCCTTTGGCTGCCCCTCCCCCCACCCCCGCCTCCTGACACTAGAGCTCCCCCAGGCTGAAGCTCTGCAGGCTCCAGGGCAAGCGGGTCCCAGCCATGAGCTCCAAAGGTACCTGTCTAGACTCTCCCAACACCACTGGGGGCACTGACCCCAGACAGACCGGCTGCAGAGGGCAGAGTGGGCACTCACCCAGGCAGGCTGGGTCAGGCCCAGCCCCCACCCCCTGCCCTGCAGCCCTCACATGGCCCACAGGCAGGTAGCTTCAGAGACCAGAACTCCTGGCCCAGAGATGGAGGGACCAGGGCCACTGCCAGGCAGATGAGCTAAGCCAGGCCTGGAATCAGCAAGGCAGCCCTGATAGCAAGGGACTCCAACCTCTGCCTCACAGTCTAAAAGCTGGGCCCAGACTCCTCCCTGCACCACCGCTCACCAAAGCCAAAGCTTGGCACCTCTGCGCCAGCCCACCATAGGCCCAGGGACCTTCTCCAACTTTGCTGTGACCTGCATGGGAAAAGTGGGAGGTAGGCACAGGACCCCCCCACCCACTTGGCCAAAGATGGGGAGTGGGACCCAGCCCAGAGCAGGTGGCCGTGGCCACACCTCAGACTCCCCTTTCCCTTACTAGGTGGCCAACTATGGCCAGGAACAGAGGCTTGGGGTACTCAAGGCCTGGCCCACAGTGGGATGGTAGGTTGGGGCAGCAGGCCCAGGCTCACCAGGGTGGTCCTCACAGCTCCTGATCTGAGGCTACCCCTCTCATGGTGGGGCCGGGCTGCTCCCCAGCCCACCCAGGGTTGAGGAGAACACATGCTCCCTCTCTGCCTCTCCCTAGTGGTGGTGGAGAACAAGAAAGTCTAATTGTCCAAACTTCCCTCAGGCCCCCCAGAGAACTGAATGGCCCCAGCTTGACCTGACCTGGGGCTGCCCAGGGTTCATGCAAATCAGAGAATCCAGGAAATGGCCTCAATGTCAAAGTCCTGAGACACAGTCACACACAAGGACACAGACTGCCTGAGAGCGGCCAGGCACACCTGCTCAGCCCATGAGGCCTCTGAGTAACCACCCCCCCCAGCACTGCTGAGCTGGGGACTCAAGTTACCCATGGCTGTGCTGGGTCAGGCCTCGGACAGAGCTTCAAGCGGACAGCCAGCCTCCAGCTCACTGTCCCAGAGGCCCTGCCCAGTGCAGGAGGGAAGTCCCCTCAGCCAAGACAGCCACCACTAAGGCTGGACATGGGGACACTGACCCAGAGGCTGCTGGAGTCAGCAAATGGCCCAGGCTGCTCCCAGGAACCCAAGTACTATGTGGCTCAACAAGAATAGGGACCCAACAGACAGCAACCCTCAGGCAGGGGCAGGTGGAGTGACAACCCACGGTCCCCAGTGATCCTTGATCTCTGCCCTATCCTCAGGACCCCGGAGGAGGGATCCAGAGAGAGGCTGTCTTGAGCCTCTGGAAACTTCTGCAGACTCCAACAGACAAATCTGTGCACGTTGCAGATCACCTCATTTCCCCCATACTAACTACAGTGGACCCACTAGGCGGCTAGGACCCTGCCCCCATCCCTTACCTTCCCCCCTGACACTCCTCTGACCCCAGGCCCAATGAATCACAAGCCCTCCAGGTCAGCCCTCTAAGCACCTGCCCTCCACAGAAGGGAGGCGGTGGGACCCTGAGTCTGACAAGTGCCAAGGTGGGACCTCAGCTCACCCTTGACCACGGACCTTGACCACCCGCAAGTCAAACACACTCTGCCACACAGGCCCAGGCCCAGAGTGGGTGGAGAAACCAGGACCCTCGCCTCCCCACCGTCTAGCGCTCTCAGGCTCCTGGGCAGGCAGCCAGGGCCCCACGCCTCCCCGGCTCAGGGCACAGCCAGCTTGGACGCACAGCACCCCCGGGGAGCGGAGGCACTGCCCCGGTCACAGTCCCAAGATTCCCCAAGACCCTGCCCGGGCGCAGACAGGTGCGGACACCCGTCCTCGCGCACAGGCCCCCACGGCCCACTGACCCGAAGTCCTGGTCCATGGACTTGAAGAAGAATTTGTAAGCGTGCACGGGCCGATTGCTGAGCACATTCTTGAAGTCGGCCAGCGTGACGCGCTCAGGCGCCACGGGCAGCTTGACCAGGTACGGCGTCTCCTCTTCATCCATGTGATAGATGATCTTGGTCTCCGCCATGGCGCGGCGGCGGCGCGGGGCCTGCGCGGCGCTCCCGGCCCGGCCCGGGACTCGGACGCCGGCGCCTACCCGCTG